CTCACTGACCACGTGGGTTTGGAGGCGTCACCACCAAACCCCAACCTTCTCCCATCCCTTGTAGATGAGGTTGTCCCCTACGGCAAACCCTCCTGCCTGACTCGAGGTCAAGCATCCAGCACCTGCTCCACAACGGGCAGCATCTCCTCCCGTGGTTCCACCACCTCCCGCGGTCACGGCTCCGGGCGTAACCGGGATCGCGGTGAAGGAACTGGCCACCGTCGTCACCTGGGTCCTCCGTTTCCCCAGGAGAAGCGGTGAAGATGGCGAGAGTTGGGGACACAGGGATGGGGACGTGGTGGGGACAAGGAGGGGGGGAATGTTCTTTAATTTCTGAAGGGGACCATGTAAATAGGGGTGCACGGAGCCAGCAGTTGGTGGGTGGCAACACGAGGTGGGGACAAGGGTGGTCCAGGTGGGACAAGGACCATCAGGATGGACGAGGGTGGTCGAGGTGGGCCAAGGAAAATGAGGATGGACAAGGGTGGTTGAGGTGGGACAAGGACAATGAGGATGGATGAGGGTGGTCAAGGTGGGACAAGGACCATCAGGATGGACGAGGGTGGTCGAGGTGGGCCAAGGAAAATGAGGATGGACAAGGGTGGTTGAGGTGGGACAAGGACAATGAGGATGGATGAGGGTGGTTGAGGTGGGACAAGGAGGATGGTCAGGGAAGGAGGAGGATCCTGGGGACAAGGACAGTTGGGAGGGATGAGGACACTTGGGATGGATGAGGATGCTCAGGAGGGTTGATGAGGTTGCTCAGGGAAAGACAAGGGACCTTGGGGACAAGGACATCTGGGAGGGATGAGGACACTGAGGACAAGGACACTGGAGATGGACAAGGTTGCTCAGGAGGGATGAGGACACTTGGGAGGGCCAAGGATGGTTGAAGTGAGACAAGTATGGTTGAGGTAGGCCAAGGATGGTTGAGGTGGGCCAAGGGGGGGTGAGATGGGCCAAGGGTGGTTGAGATGGGCCAAGGGGGGTCAAGGGTGGTTGAGGTGGGACAAGGATGGTTGAGGTGGGCCAAGGGTGGTTGAGGTGGGCCAAGGATGCTGAGGAAGGACATGGAGGGTCAAGAAGAATGAGGACACTCTGGAGGAACGAGAGTGGTCAACGGGGACGAGGACAGTTGAGGGGACAATGACCCTGGGGAAGGACAAGGATACTTGGGATGGACAACGGTGGTTGAGTTGCATGAGGATGGTTGGGGGGACAAGGATGATGGGGAAAGAGAAGGACACTGAGGAGGGACAAGGAGGTTTGGAGGAGATGAGGACACTTGGGGAGGATAAAGATGTTGAGAAGGGATGAAGAATTTGGGGAGGGATGGGGACACTGAGGTGGGATGGGGACACTGGGGAAGGATGAGGACACTTGGGGAGGACAAGAAGGCTGGAGAAGGAGGGACACCCACCCACCTTGGTGCCACCCACCATTTCTGGGTGGCTTTTGCTCCCCCTTTTTTGGGGGAACCACTGAATAAAGTTGGGTTTTAGCCAAGTTGAGGAGACTCCGGCCTCGATTTGTCCTACACTTTGGGGGCCACCACCCTCCCGTCCCTCCTGTCCTCAGCTCGCCACCTGCCCTGGCCCAGGGGCTGCCACTCCTTCTCCTGTGACCACCTGGAAAGAGAAGAAGACATTTTCCACCACCTGCCAACGGGTGATGCCCCACACCATCCCCAGTGCCCATCACCCACCATGCTGTGCCAGCTGCCTCCATCCCACCTCTCTGTGGGACACCCAACGTTGTCCCCATCCAGTCCCAAGTGGGGACCTTAGGTGAGAAGATCTCCAAGGGTGATGCTGGTAGTGAAGGACCTGCTGGAGATGATGGCATCACCAATGGTGTTAAGATGAGGCTACCTTTCCCAAGGAGGTGACAAAGGGACCAGAGGTGGGTTCTGGTGGCACTTGGCTCACCTCCATAGGTGCCATCGGTGTCCTCCAAGCAGAGGCCATCAATGGCCACGGCCAGCGCCCGGGCGAAGCTGGCGTCCAGGAGGAAGGACCCATCGCAGGAGCTCACCAAGCTGCAGCGGGTGCTGGCAAAGTTGTCCTCTGAGACCGACCCCCAACCGTTCAACAGTGACCCCACCGGTGAACCCTTCATTGTTGGTTGCTCTTCCTCCTCCTCTTCCTCCTCCTCCTCCTCATCCAGCTCAGAAGCTGATGGCCCGTAGATGTAGCCATAGGTGTGTGGTGGTGAGAAGGACCGTGGCATGGTTGGCACCAAGGAGCTGCAGGAGAGACGTGATGGGGACATTGTTGGCATCAAGGGAATGTTGCCACCATGGCGGTGTCTCAAGGGGGATGGTCTACCTAGGGCAGGTGGTGTTTTGGTCCATCTCCAGGTCCTTGGCCACCTGCTGTGGTGTGAGGACCCCGTCGCTGAGTGCTGGTGAGAGGCGACCAGGGAGTGGGGACCTGTCCCTGGGGTGTCTGGTGGCTGGAGATGTGTCCTTGGGGTACCTGGTGGCCAGAAACATGTCCCTTGGGTGTCCCATCACCAGTGATGGGTTCCTGAGGTTCCTGGTGAGCAGGGACACGTCCTTGGGTTACCTGTTGTCCAAGAACGTGTCCTTGTGGTGACCAGGGGCTGGAGATATGTCCCTGGGACACCTGGTGACTGGTGGCATGTCCTCAGAGTACCTGCTGGACAGGAACATGTCCCTTGGGTGTCCCATCACCAGTGATGGGTGTCTGGTGATGAGGGACATATCCTTGGGTTACCTGCTGCCCAAGAATGTGTCCTTGTGGTGACCACGGGCTGGGGACATCTCCAAAGGGTTCCTGGTGGCTGACGATGTGTCTCTTGGGTGTCTGGTGGCTGGAGATGTGTCCTTGGGGTTCCTGATGGCCAGAAACATGTCCCTTGGGTGCCCCATCACCAGTGATGTGTGTCTGATGACCAGGGACATGTCCTTGGGTTACCTGCTGCCGAACAATGTGTCCTCGTGGTGACCAGGGGCTGGAGATGTGTCCTCAGGGTGCCTGGTGACCAGTGACATGTCCTCAGGGTACCTCCTGGACAGGGACATGTTCCTTGGGTGTCCCATCACCTGTGATGGGTCCCTGGGGTGTGTGGTGGCCAAGGACATGTCCTTGTGGTACCTGGTGGCCAAGAACTTGTCCCTGAGGTGCCCAGTGGATGGGGACTTCTCCTTGGGGACCCTCATGACTGGAGATGTGTCCCTTGGGTGCCCATCAGCTGGGGACATGTCCCTAGGGTTCTGGGTGGTCGGTGACATGTCCCTCTGATGCTTGGTCACTGGTGATGGGTCCTTGGGGTGCCTGGTGGTTGGGGACATGTTCCTGGGGTACCTACTGCCCAGGAACTTGTCCCTGTGGTGCCTGGGGACTGGGGACATCTCCTCAGGGTTCTTGGTGACCAGGGACATGTCCTCAGGGTGCCTGGTGGACGATGACATGTCCCTCTGGTGCCTGGTGGATGGTGACACGTCCTCATGGTATCTGGTGATTGGGGACGTGTCCTTAGGGTGTCTGGTGACTGGTGACCCATCCTTGGGGTTCTTGGTGGCCAGGAACATGTTCTTGGGCTGCTCAGTGACCAAAGTCTTGTCCCTCAGGTGTCTGGTGACCGGTGACACATCTCTGGGACTCTCAACAACCGGGAACGTGTCCCTGGGGCGTTGGGTGACTGGAGATGTGTCTCTGGAGATCTCAGTGACCAAGGACATGTTCTTGGGGTGTCTGGTGGCCGGAGACGTGTCCCTGGAGATCTCAGTGACCAAGGATATGTCCTTGGGACACCTGGTGACTGGGGACATGTCTCTGGAGATCCTAGTGACTGGGGACACATTCTTGGTGTGTCTGGTGACTGGGGATATGTCCCTGGAGATCCCAGTGACTGGAGACATGTCCTTGGGACACCTGGTGACTGGGGACATGTCCCTGGAACACGCAATGGCTGAGCACCTACAGGTGGAAGGGACATGGTGGCTTTTGAAGCACAAAGTCAGACTGAGGACCACCCATCTGGGATGGGGACACCCAGACTCACCGTGTCACCGGCGGGTGACAGGCTTGGGGTGGCTTTGAAGGTGTCACTGAGGAGTTGGTGACACCAGAAGCCAACGAGGCGCTGCCCCGTCGTGGTTTTGGGGAGCTGAAGATGGGCACCTGCTGAAGGTCACCTCCAGTGTCACCATGATGTCCCCTCGGTTGAAGCCACCACCTGGTCACCCACTCACCTCCACCCTTGGTGATGGGGAGGTGACCGGGGTCACCCATGACCACC